GGTCTCTTAGGCTGGCTTCATTTCATTTCATTCTTTTTTCTATATTCTGTTGTGTGGCAGTGATTTCCACTATTCTGTCATCCAGGTCATTTATCTCCCTCAGTTATTCTGCTATTGATGCCTTCTAGTGTATTGTTCATCTCTGTTTGTTTGTTCTTTCATCCTTCTAGGTCATTTCTTGTATCTTCTCAATCTTTGCCTCCATTCTTTTCTGAAGATCTTGGATCATCTTCACTATCATTATTCTGAATTCTTTTGCTGGAAGGCTGCCTATCTCTACTTCCTTTAGTTGTTTTCCTGGGATTTTATCTTGTCCCTTCATCTGGGACATAACTTTCTGCTTTTTCACCGTGATTAATTTTCTGTAATATGGTTTTTGTTTAGCTGCTGTGAGACTGTGTTTCTTGCTTCTTCTGTCTGCCCTCTGATGGATGTGGCTGAGAGGCTTGTGTAAGCTTCCCGATGGGAGGGACTGGTGATTGGAAAAACTGAGTCTTGCTCTGGTGGGCAGGGCCTTGCTCAGTAAAGCTTTAATCCAATCATCTGCTGATGTGTGGGGTTGCACTCCCTCCCTGGTAGTCGTCTGGCCTGAGGCAACCCAGACCTGGAGTCTACAGGCTCGGTGGTAGGGTTAATGGTGAACTACAAGGGGGTTTATGCTAAGGGCCACCTTCCAGTGCCCCCATCCCCATGCCTCCACAGGAAGCCCTGCAACACCAGCTGGTAGTTTTGGTTTAGTCTCCTGTGGGGTCCCTGCTCCTCTACTCTGGGTCTTGTTGCATGTAAATTTTTGTTTGTGCCCTCCAAGACTGGAGTCTCTGTTTCCCCTAATCCTCCTGAAGTTCTATAATCAAATCCTGCTGGCCCTGAAGGACAGATTCCCTGGGGATTCCCAGGCCCTTTGTCAGATCTCCAGGCTGGGAAGCTTGATGTGGGGTTCAGAAACTTCACAATAGCGTGAGAACTTCTTTGGTATTATTGTTCTTCAGTCTGTGGGTCATCCACCCAATGGGTATGGGATTTGATTTATTGTGTTTACACCCTTACTACCATCTTGCTGTGGCTTCTTTGTTTTTGGACGTGGGGTGTCTTTTTTGGTGGGTTCCAGCATTCTCCTGTCAATGGTTGTTCAACAGCTAGTTTCAATTTTGGTGCTCTCGCAGGAGGAGATGAGTGCATGTCCTTTTATTCTGCCGTCTTGAACCAGAAGCTGATGTTTTCTTGATATTGGTAATATTTTTTCTTTATTGGTTTAGTTAAGGTTTATCAATTTTATTAATTTTTCAATGAAAATAGCTTTTAATTTTACTAGTTTTCTTTATTGTCTTTTATTTCATTGATTTCAAATCTTTAAAATCTTTCTTGCTACTTATTTGGCATTAATTTGCTCTTCTTTTTATAATTTCTTAAAGTGGAACCTTAGTCACATATTTACATTTTTCTTGTTTCTAACACAAACATCTAAAGATATAATGTTAATCTAGGCACTCAGTTCAGTTCAGTTCAGTTGGTCAGTTGTTTCCGACTCTTTGTGACCCCATGAATCACAGCATGCCAGGCCTCCCTGTCCATCACCAACTCCTGGACTTTACTCAAACTCATGTCCATCGAGTCAGTGATGCCATCCAGTCATCTCATCCTCTGTCGTCCCCTTCTCCTCCTGCCCCCAANGTTAAATAAGCAGGGTGACAATATACAGCCTTGACGTACTCTTTTTCCTATTTGGAATCAGTCTGTTGTTCCATGTCCAGTTCTAACTGTTGCTTCCTGACCTGCATATAGGTTTCTCAAGAGGCAGGTCAGGTGGTACGGTATTCCCATCTCCTTCAGAATTTTCCACAGTTTATTGTGATCCACACAGTCAAAGGCTTTGGCACAGTCAATAAAGCAGAAATAGATGTTTTTCTGGAACTCTCTTGCTTTTTCGATTATCCAGCGGATGTTGGCAATTTGATTGCTGGTTCCTCTGCCCTTTCTAAAACCAGCTTGAACATCTGAAGTTCATTGTTCATGTATTGCGAAAGCCTGGCTTGGAGAATTTTGAGCATTATTTTACTATTAGTTTAGCTATATTCTACATGTTTTGATATGCTTTCATTATCATTCAGTTCAAAATATATTCTGATTTTTCCTGTGATTTCTTCTTTGACCCATGTGTTTTTTAGAAGTAAATAATTTAATTTCCAAGTGTTTGTGTAGTCTTCACTATCTTTTTGTGATTGATGCCTAATTTAATTTTATTGTAATCAAAGAAATACTCTGTATGATTTCAGCCATTTAAGTTATTGACTTGCTTTATGGCCCAGCATATGATCTTCCTTAGTCTTTCAACTTTACGTGTGCAGTTGAAAATAACGTTGATCATATTACTAAAGTATTTTATACCCTATTGACAGTTTTCTCATTCTACCAGTTGTTTGGCTCTAATTATGGATGTATCTATTTCACTTTGCAGTCTGTTCATATTTACTTTATGTAATTTCAAGCTTTGTTATTAGCTTCATATACCTTATGATTGGTATACCATCTTGGTGAATAGACCCTCCTAAGATTATAAAATGTCTTTGTTGTCTTGAAGTCTTCTTTGGCTAATAATAATATAGCTACCCCAGCTTCCTCAAGATTAGTGTTATCAAGTGTTTCCTTGTCCATCCATTTACTTTTAATCTATTCTACCTTTATATTTCAGTTTTTTATAAAGTATATAGTTGTCTTGTTTGCTCTGCCCTTTTATTGAAGCATATAGAATAATTATTGACATGGTTTTAAGTCCCACATCTTTCTTGTTTTGCTTATCTCAACTGTTCTTTTTCCTTTTCCCCTCTTATATTCTTTTGTATTAATTCAGTGTTTTTTGGTATTCTATCTCTTCTATTGGTTTATTAGCTGTACTTCCATTTTTTTTTTCAACGGTTGCTCTAGGGGTTCTAGCATGCAGTTTTAAATGTATGCTAAGTCGCTTCAGTCGTGTCTGACTCTTTGCAACCCTATGGACTGTAGCCTGCCAGGCTCCTCTGTCCATGGGGATTCTCCAGGCAGATTACTGGAATGGGTTGCCAGGTCCTCCTCCATTTAAATGTATACTACCTCACATATAATGTGAGAACCTTTTAGTAGTATACTTCTATGTCCCCTCTCCTATCCTTTTTCCTACTGCTGTCATACATTTTACTTCAACATAAATTCCACAATATATTTTGTTTTTGACAGTTAATTATCTTTTAAAGAAAAAGTCCTTAATATTTACACGTCTATTAGAATATTTTCTAAAAGCTTTATTAATAGCCTCTGTTTATTAATTCCTAAATCACATTCATTTAAATAACATGTATTTTATCATGTGTAGTCACATCTCAGTTATCTCTATTTATATATGCTTTATATCTAATATTGGAGAAGGAAATGGCTACCCACTCCAGTATTCTTGCCTGGAGAATCCCATGGACGGAGGAGCCAGGTAGGCTACAGTCCATGGGGTTGCAAAGAGCCGGACACGACTGAGCAACTTCACTTCACTATATCTAATGTAAAGCATATGTTTATTAGGTTGAATTTTATTTGTTTACACACCTAGAGCACACTAGATGGTGAGCTGCTGTGAGAGCAGATTCAATGTTCTTTACTTTTATATCTTTAACACTTATTAATAACAAATGGTATAAAAACTGATGGAATAAATAACATCTCAAACTGTTATTTTGAAAAATAGGTGAATTTTATTCTGTGGTCTGTGGAATTTTACAAGAAAACTTTTCAAAACACTGGTGGGCTTGTCATTAGATTATGCCATTGACTTTCAAAGGATATGACTAGGGATTGAGGGTGCAAAGCTTCAATGCAACAAATTACAGAACTAGGTTTTTACCTACTCCCTCAACCTTATCTACTGCAATTCTGTAGAGCCTCAACTGTAGATGATTTCAGGCTCTTTTTGTGGGAGCCTGCAAGACAGTATAAGAAAGTGAAGTCGCTTAGTCGTGTCTGACTTTTTGCCACCCCATGGACTGTAGTCTACCAGGCTCCTCCGTCCATGGGATTTTCCAGGCAAGAATACTGGAGTGGGTTGCAGGAATGGTAGAAATATGTGATGTTCCAGAAGACAAAGTAAAAAGTTAAATATTTCAGGATGGAGGGCGTGGTCAGTAGTGTCTTAAACAGAACTGGGATTAAGTAAAGCAAGCATTTTAGTGTCCTCTGGATTCTGTGACGAGGAAGTTCAGTGAGGTAGGTGGTGGTGGCTGAGATGAGACTGCAGTGGATCCAGGAGAAAAGTGGGAGGTGAAGAGGAGACAGGTTCTTTGAAACAACCGCAGGTTTCCAGGGAGGGGAAGAGAGAGACAGAGACGAAGGCTGCTAGGGGGAGGACTGCCTTCTTTAGCTCTACCTCCGCTGGGTCAGCGGGGGCCCGACTGCAAAGCGATGACCTACGCTGTGACACTGGGCGCTCTCAGGAGAGGTGCAGGTCAGAGCAACTCACTGACCTGCTGCCCCAGGTGCACTGAGTTTGCCGGGAAGATCCTTGACGCCGGAGCGCTCTTTAGATGCCGCCGGGGCCGGGGAGGACCGCCTTCCTCCCTCCTAAGGGAGGTGTTCTTCCTCCCTCCCAAGCTCTCCTCGGCTCGCGGTCGACTTAGGCTTGGAATGTCCCGGCCGCCGCGTTTGGCACCTCGGCTTCCAACTTGTGGGAGGGCTGACGCTCCCGCGGCGTCCCGGCCAGGGCCTCCCCCGCGAGGCTCTTCAAGCGACGCCCGAGAGCCACTGGCGCGGACCCTCTCGCCTCAGGCGGCTGAGAACCGCGGTGGCTTGAGTCGGGCGGTTGCGGCAGCCCGGCTGACCCCGCGGACCCGCGGCCCTAAGCAGCCGCGGCGTCGAGGAGGAGGCAGGTGGCACGGCCGCTGGCGGGACGCCCTCCCTGGGGCCGGGAGGGGAGGCGGCCAGCGGTCCCCGCCGCCGCGGGGCAGCGCCGGCCCGACCATGCTGCGCTGGCTGCGGGGCTTCGTGCTGCCCGCGGCGAGCCGCACCGACGAGGAAGACTACTTACACTACAAGATCCTTTTCCAAGACCTGGACCACAACGGGGACGGCGTGGTGGACATCTTGGAGCTCCAAGAGGGCCTGAAAAACTGGAACCCATCTTTTGCCCGGGAGGTGAGTGGCCCCGCCGGTCCGGAGAGGTGCTGGGCAGAGGGTAAAGGTGTTACTGGACCAGGATTCTTGGGTTTCCCTAATCAATAAAAATTGATAAGAGGTCAGTCAGGAAATTCAGGCAAGGCTTTATTGGGGCCACTGCTGCAACAGGGTATATAGTGTAAACAAGTAACAGTTTTCCTTACTCGCTCCCAGAGGCGGGAGCAAGATGATTCCTATTATGGGGTCAGGGTAGGAATGTGTTCAGGCATCAGGCAGGAGGGGTGGCTTAGGTGGTTTGCCCATCCCGTTGGCAGGGGAGCCTGTGCAGTATCTCTGTTTTTGCTCTAGGTTCTTCAAAAGTGGTGGTTGGGTTTTTTGTCTTTTTGTACCTTGTCCATATTTGTCCCGGGGTGCATCCACTTAGTTATTTTTAGTCCTTCATAGTTTCTTTGTATTTTGTTGCCCCAGATGTTTGTCCAGGAAAATGCAAGCACTTCCGCAAAGGGTCCCAGGCCCTAGCCTGTCTCAAATCTAGACTTGCCCTTTCCAGAGGTGCTCCCAAGGGTCCTGGGTGGGCATAACTTCCATGAGCCTCTCAGGAGGGAAAAGGTAGCCCAGCAAAACACCGTCTCCATCTTCTTAAAGTGATCACTTTGAACAAACACCAGAACCTCCTCTTGGGGTTTTTGGAAGATGCTGATTGGGTTTCTGGTGACTCATTCACCATTTACTGAACTGGCACAGAATTTCACAGGCCTCATTAGCCTTTGCCAATGCAGAAGTCAAAGACTTTATCTTTTCTCTAGTCATTCACCACCCACGATTCATGCTTCAGAGTCTTCAAATGACAGGCACACCTGGGTTCCCAGAGCTGTGATCCCACACCAAAGACCAAAGGGGAGTCAGACCTTGATGCATGGATTTACACTGCAGCTGATTGTTTCAGTACTTTGCCTAAATTAGGGATGCCTTTCTTCTCTAGAGGAATCTTTTTTTTTTTTTCTAGATGAATCTTGATTATTTAAAAACTGTTTAGATGGAAGTTTCAGAATACAAAGAGAAAACAATCATTTTATTTCCAGTGCAAAACAGTCTTCTGATATTAACCTACTTGTTCAGGTTTCTACCAGTGAGATGTGTGTGTGTGTGTGTGTGTGTGTGTGTGTGTGTGTATTAGAGGTCCAAATGGTTACCATGGCTCAGGAAATTCCTTGAGTTCTGTACTCCAAAAATGTATTGCTCTGGTTTGATTATCTCATCTCAATCCTATATCCTCCCACTCTGCTTAGTCTTTTCAGATTGATGCCAAGCAAACTGTCTCCTTGGCTTTATTTTTCTTTTGTCCCTGGGTCTTGTCTCTTAGGACAGTCTCTGGTTATACATCCTTAGGCCAGAATTCCAGGACCCTGTACTTCAGTCTGTCAAGTGTGTTAGGCTTCTGCTTACCTGAGAAGGGATATCAGAGAATAAACCTGAGAGGTAGGTAGGAATCAGAGAGGAGGGGTAGGAATATAGGAACATTAGCATGAATACTGCTTTAGTATGTACACTGTGTCTTTGAAAATGGTATGCCACTCATGAAAGGTATTACCTTTAAGCCCTCACTTGGAAGAGCACCACTTACTTGTTCCGTCTGTACAGCAGGCCAGCAGCTTCTGGTTAGTACTTTATGTGATAGGCCTGGTGGGTCCTGTTAACGTTATATGGCCCCTTTGGAGTATAATAGGACATTTGGTCCAATGCAGTGTACTCTATATACACATGTTGTGAAATCAAACATCCTTTACTGTTGGATTGTCCTGCCAGCTGAGGCTCTGCAGGGAAGTAAGACAAACACATAGAGTGTATCAATTCCAGTGAAGATGAAACACTGTACCTTTCAGGATAGAATAACTTCAGGGTAATGGACTTGCTGCTGGGTGGCTGGTAGGTTCCCTGAAGGATGATGTTATTTATGTCTGTACTTCGGTCTCTGATGGCAGTAGGTTGGGCATTTGGAAGCATCAGTAGCAATATTAGGCTTTTAAAGTGGAACCCATACTGATGGATATGCATCCATGGATGGCGTCTATCTCCACCACCATGGCTGTTCCATCCCAGAGTCTACTGTGTCAGTACTGCTGTTCATTATGTCAACTGATGAGAGAGTCTGGCTGACTTCAGCTGACTGGGTCACTATCTACTTGGTTATTTTGTACCTCTTCCACAGTAGCAACTGTACAAAATGAGAATATTTTTACTTTGTGTTCACTCCCATAGATCCATCCTCATGCGTATTCCCCAGACTTCTGTGTCTCTGATCTTTTAATCTCTTTCTTGCCAGGCTACTGATTGTCCAAACAAGCTACTCACCACTGTCCATAAGTCTCTATACATTGTTATTTCTATCCTCTTCTCTTTCTACATAAAGTGAATGATCAGGTACACAACTTGACATTCTTCTCTCTTTCCCCTTATTGCTGTCTTTCTGGACTGTTCTTGAATGGTATTATAGTGCACATCAAGCTGTTTTCGGTTTGCATTCACATACTCAGAAACCCATCCAAGGACCAAGCTCATCCTTTTTCCGCCTGTGTTGGCTGGTAATAATGAACTTCCATGTATTTATAGGAATGAATTTAAGGAGAGGTGATGGTAAACAGTGGTGAAGCTTGGAGATCCGAACCATTCTTTGTTTTGTTTGCGCTCTGGTTCTGCTTGTGCTTGATCTCAGATGTTCTCTTCCATTATATAGGTTGCTCCTGGACTCACCAAAACTTATGACTTGGTGAATCTAATAGAACCCAACTCATGATAGTCAACCATGGCTGTGTGTTCATTTTAATTTTGTTATTATTTTTTAACATCTTTTTTTTACATTTATATTTACTTTGGCTGTGCTAGGTCTTCATTGCTGCGTGGGCTTTTCTCTAGTTGCAGCGAGTGGGGCTACTCTCTAGTTGTGGTGCGCAGGCTTCTAGTTGCAGTGGCTTCTCTTGTTGTGGAGCACGTGCTCTAGGGCACCTGGGCTCTGGTAGTTGCAGTTCCCGGGCTCTAGAGCACAGGCTGAATAGTTGTGGTGCCTGGACTCAGTTGCTTTCTGGCATGTGGGCTCCTCCCTGGTCCAGGGATCAAACCCGTGTCTCTGCATTGGCGGGCAGATTCTTCACCACCGAGCCACTAGGGAAGCCCTGGGTAATCATTTGAAGTCCCATATTTAAGCACTTTGTTTCTACCAGGGCCCCATAGCAAGTCAGGAGCTGTTACAGTTTTCTCCTGCAGACTCTCCTTTGGGGGCTCACTATAAACTTCTCATAATATCTTTTCATACTTCTGATACTTTCAATACCATACAGTCTGCTGGGTCAGGTGGCCCTAGAGGCAGGGCCACTTGCTCTATAGCTAGGACATGTTGAAGAGCTCTTGCCCATTATGGTCCCCTTAGAATGCTGTTAGCTTTTCCTGGTTCTCAGAAGTGAGTCAGAGCAGTTTTTTCAATTTTGAAATACATTACCTCCAGAACTCAGAAGCCTCAGATCTTGTCTTCCCTTCTTAGGGAGGTATGAGATGCCATCATTTCCCCTTTACTTTGATGGTGGTGGTGGGACATATCCTGACATACCCCAGACCACTGGTTTTGGAAATACTTAATTGATGTGGTAGACCCCTGCATCTTTATTGGCTTTATTATTTCTCATTCTCTGGAGGCATATACCTTACCAAGGCTTCCAACATATTGCTACTTCTTGTTTACCGAGTCCGTTTAACATGTTTTCATCAATGTAGAAGACCAGCATGATGTTCTATGAATGTGTAGTTGGACCAGTTCCCTTTATGACAGAAGGTGGGAGATTTAAACGTATTTATTGCCCATCCCACGTGAATATCAACTGCTTCTGTATCCTTCTTGGTAAACAGAAAACAGTACATTCATCAGATCAATGGCTGTATGCTATGTCCTTGAGACGGTGTTAATCTGCTCTAGTAAATACCACATAAGGATCTAGAGCTGCAGTTGACTTGTCTGCTACTTGGTTGAGTTTGAAGTCATCCACTGTCATCCTCCTCCTCATCTAGCTTTTGTAGGGCTTATACCAGTGAATTAAGTGGTGGGGACCACACCCCTGAATTTTTTAGTAAGTCTTTAAGGATAGTACTAATCTCTGCTGCTAGGAAGTGATACTGGTTTTTTTCTGATTTTTAAAATAAAAATTCAAGTATTATAAAATTTAGCATCTTAAACCACTTTTAGGTGTACAGTTCAGTGGTATTAAATCAGTTCAGTTCAGTCACTCAGTTGTGTCCGACTCTTTGTGACCCCACAGACTGCAGCATGCCAGGCTTCCCTGTCCATCACCAACTCCTGGAGATTACTCAAACTTATATCCATCAAGTTGGTGATGCCATCCAACCATCTCATTCTCTGTCGTCCCCTTCTCCTCCTGCCTTCACTCTTCCCCAGCATCAGGGCCTTTTCTGATGAGGCAGTTCTTTGCATCAGGTGGCCAAAGTATTGGAGTTTCTGCTTCAGCATCAGTCCTTCCAATGAACACCAAGGACTGATTTCCTTTAGGACGGACTGGTTGGATCTTCTCGCAGTCCAAGGGACTCTCAAGAGTCTTCTCCAACACTACCATTCAAAAGCACCAATTCTTCGGTGCTCAGCTTTCTTTATAGTCCAGTTCTTACATCTATACATGACTACTGGAAAAACCATAGCTTTGACTAGACGGACCTTTGTTGGCAAAGTAATGTCTCTGCTTTTAAATATGCTGTCTAGGTTGGTCATAGCTTTTCTTCCAAGGAGCAAGTGTCTTTTAATTTCATGGCTGCAATCACCATCTGCAGTGATTTTGGAGCCC